TGTTAAAAAGTAAAAGATTCCAGACAACAGTTTTTATTTTGTAATTCCACTATAGTGAAAGTGTAATTTTTATAAAGAAGTAAAAAATAAGAATAGCGTGCCGATTACATTAAAAACGATATTCTTATTTCTTACTTTGCTTAATTTTTTAATTTGTGCATAAACTAGTTTTACAATGAACCGAGAAAACAATGCATTTACTATTTCCGAAGGTGTCGATATGGTGTTAGTGTATGGTGCAGCCGGAGAAAATGCGCTAGCGGCGACTAGGTTGTACCGGGAACGATGGCCACAACGTCACCCCCCATGTGTAAATAACGAGCGTTCAAATAAAAACGTGGTCAAGTTGGTTCTGAAAATTTGGACGTAGGGCGTAGCCTATAGCAAATGAACTTAAACGTCATCTGTCAAAGCGCTGTATCGCCGCTTTGTTATTGAAACTGACAGCTGCTATACAGCTCGTTGAGAAATGAGGTTAAGTTGGTCGCTATAAGCTACGCCCTACGTCCAATGTGTCAGAGCCAACTTCGACCACGTTTTTATTTGAACGGTCGTTACAATCCTACAGTGCGTTCAGCGGCTGCGAGATACGGGAAGTGTTATTCCTCGAGGAGAAGGACGTGGCCAGCAAGTGAACCTTAATGTTGGAGATGCCGTGTTGGAAAATCTTGACGAAGAGCCCACAATTAGTATTCGACGACTCGCACAGCAAGTAGGAACCTCATCTCGTACCGTACATCGCATCTTAAGGCGACAGCTGTTGCACCTTTATCATCTGCAACCAGTTCGACAGATTTTACCCCCGGATTGTGATCAACGAATGCTTTTTTGCAAATGTGCCAATCAAGTAGACTGGGTGCGTCGGTGCCATGCCTGTACCCGCGCTAATGGGGAACAATTTCAACATTTTCTCTAGAAATGATGTTTTATTTCATTTTGTTCCATATTTTAATGGAGGTTGTTTAGTGCACGCAGTTGGCAACTACAGATCCTTACGAATTTGGTTTTGTTTGCTAACTCTTGCAGTAACAACAATTAATTTAAGATAGTAATTATTACTATTAATTTTTATAATAAGAAAATATCAGTTTCTTTTTTAAATATATACTTTTCTTACTTTGTGCTTTTGCTTTGAAAAATTCCCCAAAATTGAAAAGTATTTTTCTATCTTTCAACGACGATTTGTTTTGATAGTTTCTAAACTAACCAAGTCCTTGCCTTTTTACCTGACTTTGATATAAGACCCCCTTTCAAAATTATAATATTTAAATCACCTTACCAAAACTTGTTTATAGTATGAAATGCTATAGAATGCTAAAAATGTCATAATAAATAATATGTATTTACGTTGGTGATTTATGTAAATATAAGTAAATATTTTAAAAATCTTTATATATTATTATATTTAAACATGAGGTTCTAACGAAATAACAATACAAAAAATATCGAGTTTGGTTGTCAGGTAGGCAATGAATGTTTACTAATTTTTTCGTTTATTAAAATAAATTTCAACTTAATTTTATAATTATCATGATAATCCCCAGCGAATGTGAAGTCATTCACATAAGAATAATAAAGTATCCAAGAATTTTGACTAAACGGTTTATTTTTTTTCAGTAAATTCCTTCTTTTGTCTCTATTAAAAGGAATATCTTGATTTATGTAAATATTTTGTAATGCCATAATGTAAAATTAACAGTATCCATTTATCTTTCCTATGGCGTTAATGTCTTTTTTATCGATGTACGACGTACACCTTACTATCTACAAGAATGTTTTCTGTTTTTATATCTGTGTGTTTTTACATATTACCAATGCATTAGTTAAATAATGATATGAGTACTCAATATAAACTATATACGCAAAAAATCTTCTTGCTCTAATTTCTGTCCCTATTACATTTTTATTAATAAACAAAATTACAACTTTTATTAATTTTTTTATACTGATCAAAAATGAAACACTCTGTATAGGTTTCTCTCTATTCCAGTGTCTTGTTTTCTTCGCCTTGTCCCAATAATTTCAATATCAACAACTGACGTAGGAGTCGACAATGACAATATTCCATTTGTTAAACCAGATAAGTCAGTAATTATTTATGTAAATGCCATGGGTTAATCGCTTATAAAACAACCAACTCAGACTGGTAGACCTCACAAGAACCTTTGAGATCATTTGAAAGAAAGAAGGTGGTTTGAATGAATATGTAAACAGCGCGAGTTGTTGTCCGTCGTCCGCTATCTAGTGGTTCTCTGTTGGGTTTGGGACTTCACCTACCTACTTCTATAGCCTCTTAGTTCTAAGAAAATGGTAGAAACCAAGACAAATACATCGTAATTGTAAAGTATGTATATAAAAAATTCCAAATGTGAAAAAGATTAAAAGTATTTAAGTAAACTTTTTCGTGAGTCAATTTACCGCTTTCAAATTAAGTTTTATGGACTACTTCTTTAAAATAAACCTTTGAAAATTTTCATTTATAATTGTTGTCATATTTAATGTCTATTGCCATATTATCTCTATACTTCGTTATGTATTATAACAAATTTGACATCACTAATAAATGTTATACATTTGTCACAGATACATTACCCTGGTTTTCTATTACGTCTTAATATTACTAATCAATTACTGACAATAAACAGCCTGCCACGAACTTCACATTATTGCCATATTACCTCAGCTTCTTTATAAGTAGTGCCATATTGTTGCCATATTACTCCAGTTTATCTGTACCATTTTAACGGTGTATAATGACAATAACAAGCATCATGTAATCGCGTTATTGCCGTATTACTCCGATATACAAACAATAAATATGTCTAATTGCCATATTACCCCAATGTCTAATCAAACAAGACTTGATGTAAAACAATAATTATCGACCATAACAGTCTCCAATAGTGCCATATTATTGTCATATTACCCCAGTTTCTGTGTAACATCTTAATACCAGTGTAAAATCATTTATCCTCCCACATGATTCAACTGTAAGTTGAAAACAGAACAATAATCGACCAAAACAAACAACCTGCCTTCAATAGTGCCATATTACCCCACCTGTTCTCCTATGTAGTCAAACAGACTTGAGTTTGATGTCCTTGATATAATTACATTTTAAATAAACTTAATACTAGTGTAAAATCATCTGTCAGATGATATATGATCGAGTCAGATACTTCTAAATAATAACAAACAATAGGGTTACATTGCCATATAACCCCAATTCTATTATAACATCTGAAAACTTCAGGGTTCAAATAAGATTTGATTTAGTTAACTTTAAATTGGAAATAAAACAATTATCGACCATAACAAACAGTATGTGCTTAATGGTGCCATATTATTGCCAAATTACCCCAGTTTCTACATAACATCTTAATACTAGTGTAAAATCATCATGTCATTTTACGTGGTCAAAACTGATATACTATGTCTAATGGTGTCATATTATTGCCATATTACCCCAGTTTAACTTAACATCCCTAACATTGTTGTAAAATCCTTTGTATGTCCTCTCGCCCAATAAAATCGGATTTGATGTCCTTAATAGTAGATTGCAAACGAAATAGTTACCAACGATAACAAACAGTTTGTTTCCAATAGTGCCATATTACCCCAGTTGGTCTAATATATAGGTGTTATTGTAAAGTCCTTCATCTCTCCCTTTCAACTAATCATATCGGAATTGACATTGAATTTCCAAGAGCCTTACTCTAATATTGCCATATTACCTCAGTTTCCATGGCATCTTACACTGGTGTAAAGCCCTTCGTCAGTTGTCTCATCTAATCAAGTCAAACTTGATATACATAACATTAGATTGAACACGAAACACTTACCAATGATAACAAACAGCTTGCTTTCACTAGTGTCATATTACCCCCGTTGGCCTATTATATATTGACGTTATTATAAAATCCTTCGTCTAACCTTTCAACTAATCATATCGGAATTGACATTGAATTACTAACAGTCTAACTCCAGTATTGCCATATTACCCCAGATTCCAAGGCATCTTACACTGGTGTAAAGTCCTTCGTCCGCCGTCTCATCTAATCAAGTCAGACTTGACGTACGTAACATTAGATTGAGAACGAAACAATTACCGGCGATTACAAATGGCCCGTCTCCAAGCCGTGACTCAGCCGAAGAAAGCGTCGGCATCCACGTCTTCCGGCTAAGCGGCATGAGCCTGTTGTTCAAGACTGATAGGTACAATTCGCGCCACTACGGTAATTCTGTACGGCGGCGTTCTAATCGCCGTGCTAATGCGAAAGATAATTATCTCGAGAGGAGAGCGGGTTCGAGATATACAAAGCCTACTTATCGATGTAGGTGCGAGGCTTCTGTTTACGCAACGTACGGCGACGGACAATAGCGACGTTGTTTTCGGTCGTACATTTGTGGGTTGCCAAAGAGGAGTTGAAAGGTGCGTGGAAATGGGATTGTTTATTTTTGGACACCGAATCTGTTCTGTTATTTTGACACATGTTTATGTCAAGCTGGACCTCAAATACTTTCCAAGGAATTAATATTAACACTGTTGATTTAGTCAGAATTGTGTTACATTTAAAGTGGATTTAACGCCTTGGCTGTTTTAATAAACTCGGCTGCGCCTCGTCGTATAAAATACCAGCCGCGGCATTACATCTTGTACCTAGTTAAATGAATAACTATTATTTATTATTACATTTTCTTTATATCTACAAGCATATGCTAAATTCCTATAATAATTGATCCATGGTTACTAGAAACTGACGTATAATCAACTAGCCTGTTATTTTGACGTTTGCTAATGATTTGGTTTCTAAATAGCTCACTTTATTTCTTAATTGCTAACTTTAAATGGTCAGTCACGGCTAATATGATTGATACGAATTTCACACTGGAAAACAGAGCCTGCAGTTATTTTTATCGTCTTTCCCTTCACATATTGTTAAAAAATTTACGTCAGCAATGGTGTTATATTTATGATTCATTTTCCTTTTTTTTTTCAGAAAAAAGACTGATTCGCGGAATGACGTGGACAAGGAACCAAAAGACTTAACAAATAGGACGATGTTTCCAAGTGCACAGATAAAAATGAGGTAAGAATGTTTTGACTTTGTTGAAATTAGATAATGATACCATTTTCAGTAAATCTACTGTCTTTATAAGCATATATTATAGATATGAAAACTTTTTCCCATTTCTACAAGTGATAATATAATTAATAATATCCATTTCATTTCTGCTTTACGAAGCTATTCTTAAACATGTAAAAGTCCGCCTAGTTTATTTCAAAATGCTTTCGATATAAATCAGCTGCAAATCTGTCAGATATTCCGCAAGGATTCTTTACGGCGCTGTGGTATGGTGGCAAAAAACACAACAGACCACATCGAGGGAAAAACTGAATAGAATTCAGAGATTGGCCTGTTTAGGTATAACGGGGGCGATGGCATCGACCCAGACAGCTGCACTAGAAGTCATGCTAAATCTACCACTGCTGCATATAGTGGTGGAAAGAGAAGCGCGGCTAGCAGCATATCGACTCAGGAATAACAACGACTGGAGGGGTAGTTCCTATTCCAGGATTATAGACACATCTATGTCGGAACCAACTTTTGGGATGGTATCTGACAAGATGGTTCCAAGGTTTCACTTCCACAAGCCTTTTGAGACTCGAATAGAGGATCAAAGCAAATGGGAGGAAAAGTTTAATACCCTGGAAAGGTGGAGCCTAGTATGGTTTACAGATGGCTGCAAAATGACCAGAGGGACGGGTGCAGGAATATATGGACTCAGACTCAGATAGAGTGCAGTCTGGGGGAGTTCCCAGAAGCAGAAATTTTCGCGATAATGGCGTGTCTGGCAGAGAATGTACGTTGAGGTTATAAACGTAAACTCATATATATATTCTCCAAGATGTTTTCTTGATGTCTTCACTATAGAAACATAGATGTCTATCCAGCTATGTTCTCTTTTAAATATGAGAAGTATGTCTGAAATAATAAATAAATTGATTCATAATTAAATTTTATTAGTTTCAAATGAGGCTTATATATTTCTAAGAAAGGTTAGATACATACATATAACTTTGGCAACGTAGCATTTTTAACGCGCGATGCTTAATACACTGAAGGCATTTTTCTGAACTGAACCAAGAAGAACATAGTAGAATTTATTTCCCAGCACTCAAAATAATTATTCCATATCGCACAGATCTTGCGGCACAGTATATCAACCCAGCGCTGCAAACATTTGTTTTATATAATACGACCCCGGGGCCCGCGGCATAAAACATTATTATCCCAGTTATGATGCCGTATACATTATGATAATTGGTGTTCGCACTCGATGCATGTCATAAAACTTCAATTGAATAGTTTTAATTCGCACCTTAGAGCCATGCCGTTTTTTTTTAAAGGAAAGCTGCTATTTATTGCTAGAAGACAAGCTGTAGAATGCAAAGCAATTACACCTTTCATTATAATGGACGTAGTTACAACATATTAAGTAGCGTGGTAGACAATTTAAGTCCTGTTTATTTACTTTGTAAGTTGCGGGCATCACAGAACAGTTGGCCACTGTTGGAAGTGTTTTTCAATTGTCTGTAATTTAGAGGCACAGTGATTCGTGATCCTCTTTTACTCTTGAATGTAAGAAGATTACTTCAAGTATACGTCAGAGTGGGGATCTGCTGAAAACAGTTTTTCGCAAAGTTTACAAGTTAACCACTGTTGTCGCCCTCTTTACAGGGTGTTTCTGAAATAAAGAGGCTGTGCACGTGCACAAGATGCACAGAGTCGGCTTACATTTGTGGTTAATGTTCTCTAAAATAGAAGCATTTAGGCCATTAGATGCTTAATAAAAGAAGGTCATTTGCGTGCCCTCTAAAAATATACAGTTCTATTTAAATAGTCGCCGTCGAATGTATCGTTTGTTTAATACAAAATTTAATAGTTTTAGTCTTATTTTAAGAATATATTTGGGTATAAATTTCAAACTCACAACACCTAGTACAACATCGTTCGTAAGTAAAACCAACCAGACATAGATAGGTTCGGACTTATCGATGCTCCTCACCATAATGTCGTTAGAACGATCCAGCTGCTTTAGTGTCGTTACTCACAAGGAGATGTATATACACACAGCATAAGTGGCTCCATCTATAGTGCTACTTCCCACCTACACCATTCTGTGACCTACAATTTTCTTTCAAGAAAACATAAGTTTGATTATAATATGCTACATTTGTCTTGAATAATTCCTACATTAATACTAAATTTTAAATATTTTATATATTTTAAGGAACTGGTAGTTTTGAAACAAATATATTTGCAGTTTATGATTAAGGTAAGAGATACTGTAGTTAAGGTCCGAGATAATAAATTTCAAAACTATAAAAGATTTGAATTAAATTATATATATTTACAAATAATATAAATTCTAAGAAAAATTATAGATAACAGCAAACATTTCACATAGTTTGACGAATGTATATACATTTGAATATAATAAAATAACATTTACGGTAAATAATTCCATTTAAAAGTATCTGCTCATTTGATCCAAATACTTTTTTTTAATGCACATAGTTAACCGCTAGACATGTACAGTAATGGTTGATGCTGTTCTCATCTACATGCTCCGCTGACTATTTCGGTTTAAGTGTGATAATTAGAATCAGTATTTTTTTTTGCTTTCAAATGTCAAATCGCTTTTTATATTGAAACTGCAAAAAGTGGGGATATGTTTTCCAACTGTTGGTGAACATTTTTGGAAGAATCAACATTATGGAGATATAATCGCTTCAAAATTGACCTTTAGATCTAAATATAATTCATACTCTTTGAAAAATAATAGCTATTGTTATTTTAACTGGTTATAAAACACAAAAAAGATTGAAATAACTGATGTAGGTGTATTAGCCAAACCCAAAAGTGGCATAAGGCGGGAGCAGTACCGCCGAAATTCACAGCAGACATTTCAATTTACCAGAAAAAAAGTATAGATGAATAAATATAAACATTTTCTCCTGAATTTTATATTAGAAATTGTTTAAATTGGCCAATCAATATGTTCAATGAAAGGAAGAGGATTCCTTTTCATAATCCTGTCACCTAAATTATTTTTTTTTCTTTTTCCTATCACTTCCAAATTAATCAGGCACCACGTATCACATTAATCTGAACTCGTTTCATGGAATCCGATCTTATCTTTGTTTCAGTTCCGACCCTTTTTGAGTTTGCGTGTTCCCTATAAACTAATTAGTAGGTGCCGAAAAAAAAACATACCTTAACGTGACACTGATTTACTTAGATCCAACTGGTTGATGTAGAAAACTATCCCCAATTAAAAAAGCTCTGTTATTTCAAGGAGATATTCTATTAAAGATATTTTTCTGTTTTTATTCGCTGCGCGTTTTGATCTGTACGGATACTTTCTATTATAAAACCGCACGACAAGCAGCAAACGACTGGAATCGAAACAACCATAGGAAACCATATTTTACGGTACTGAGCATAGTAATTTGTGTTATTTAAGTATCAATAACTTGTAACTCTCACTATTATTAAGACTTGACAGCCAACATTAGATAATAATAGTAATAATACATTTACTTTATTAAAATATAACGCGATTACAGTATTTTTTATTACTAATGAAAGGTAGTTGAAATAGATCGACAGGCACTTCATTTTTTGTATTGGTTTTCTTTCCTTGTTAACCACCCTTCACTAATTTTGCATGGCTTCCTTGACCAAAGCGCAATATTACTTGCTAATAGTCTACTTTACCACACTTTTGAATGGATGGCAACATCATTTTCGGCAATTAAACAAACAGATACGCGGAAAACTTAAATCTAGACCGCGAAACAAACGGAAACTAGAATAAATGCCGGTAGCACAATCTAGACACACTTGGCTAAACAGTTGTCAGGCGCCTGGGCGACTTGTTCCGTGACCCCACGTCTAAAAATTAATAAGGCAATTAATGCAAATATTCCGTGCCGCTTGTGGCGTGTGATTTGTCGATGTCGCGGTTAGAAACTCAAGTAATTTTCCGTAAACGACAATTCGACGACGTTAAATAGTTATAAATTTTCGCAGTACTGCCAAATATACGATTTTTGGGCCAGTTTTACCGTTATCGAAAAGTGTCAAGTCCATTAGGTTAGGTTTTTATTTTATTTATTAGTTTAAATGCGAAATTGAGCAAAACTGAGTCTAATATATATAAAAAGAAATTAATTCGTTTATAACAAGTTCCTAAAGTCATGATGAGGAAAGTTATAATATACAAGGGGTAAATTCTCCATGGTTACCGAGTTATGGTCCTTTAAAGTTTCTTAAGTTTGTCTACTATGTCATGCAACACCCTGTATGTACAAGCAACTACCACATACTACTGTTATAAAATAATACGAATTAATGAACTTAATTCTATCCAAAGTTGCTTATACAGTATTACAATGAAGCATACTCAATCTGAAGCTTCATGAATTTTAATAACTAAAAAGTAACGGAGGCTTTTTTATTCTCTAGTTACAAATCCGTGAGCTTCACAAGTGCATTACATATTTATTTATTTACCCAACATGATACTATAATTTCTTTGGTTTTAAAGGAATAATGTGGCCTATAAGTCACTAGTGAGTTATAAGTCATAAATCACTAGTAAGTTATGACTTATAACCCACTAGTGACTTATAGAAGTCATAATGTTTGGTTTATTTTTCTAGTTTTTATTAGAAAACCAATTTGAAACAGTAATAAGTCAACAAATAACCTAAAATGCTACAAACTTACAATCTACCTACTTATTAATATTAACATTTGGTAAAGCCGTAATTATTGGAATCATTTTGTGATTGTGGTAAGATAAGATAGAACAGGTTGCCCCTTTGCTTGTGCTTGCTTCAGGAGTCTGCACCCCTTGTATCTTTTTAGCAATATCAATTTTGCTTTCCCTTTCTAAAACCTTGAACTTTTTTGGTTGAAAATGTTTGTGCTTAGACTTTAGAAATGCCGCTAGTCTTCCGAATTTAGAAATTTTAATGTTCTTGTAAACTCTCAAAGTTGACTTCAACATGGAATAT